AAGCAGTGAGGCAAGACAATTATTCATAATATTGTTACATTAAAAATCATCTCAAAATCATTTTAGCTCTTACTTAATATTAATCATAAATTCAGTAAGTATGATCTGCCCGACACATGGTTGATCCCCCAGAGTGGGTAGGTGCCAATGATCTAAGGAGCATCATCATCATCATCATGAAATGCTGTTGAAAGAAGCACCCTCTTCCGCTGGCTGAGTTTTGAACAGTCCACTGTATTGCAAGCGCGCTGCAGGCACGGATGAGAAAAATAGACACCACCAATTATGAACGAGGAGGAGTTCCGTAGTGCCTGAACGTAGTTGAACCGTGATATAAGCATTTATCGACGTACCTTGAGCAGCGGTGTTGAGCTAAGCCCCTACGGAGAGCACGATTCGGTGCGAAAAGCATCCGCTGCTATCAGCACCTACTCGTATACGTGTACAAGCTGTTATTTATACACGGTGCGCGCCTTGCGAACGCCCACTTCAGCGGCAGCAGTTGTAGGAAGGAAAGTATGTTGGTTAGGGGATGGGTATAATTGTGTACACTTTCTCAATCCATCGATTCTCTCAGGCCCGATACCCAAAGAAGTCAAACTGGACGTACGTCACGACTTCGACATTAGTCATGCATGACGGAATTTTATCACCTATTTCAAAACATCATGCAAAAACACTACGGGCTCCTCCATTTTTTAATAGGAACGAAACCATGTCTCTTGACAGCAAGCCTCATTGTTTAACGTCAAAAAAAGACAAAAAATGTGCAACTGGTCACAAGACCAGTGAGAGACGGTATGTCCAGCTGAAAAGGGAAGCCGCAGATTGCACAGACACCAAGCCTAAATCAAGCTTCATCACTTACCTTATCAAGCACCGCCTCCAAAACATGCGTGTCGCAACGGCGCTCCCAAAGGGGGAATCCGCTCTGGTTATGGCTTTTCATGTCAGGCCCGAGGCCCCTCACTTTTAGGGCGAAGCTCCTTGAGACCTCATGATGTCCGCCGTCTCCCGTCTGTCCGTAACACCATGTAACCTTCACCTTATAAGCAACAGAGGGCATTGGTGGTAATTGTTTTGCATGTAACCTTCAACTTATAGGCAACAGAGGGTGCTGTGGTTAATTGTAGGCGTGATGGCACTGCTGTCAACGCTATATATATATAACCTTGTTCCATACCACATATTCTCTTCTCTCATATGGACGAAGACAAGTGCAGGAAAGCGCGACGTGCTGAGTATCAGCATCGCTGTCAACGGGAAGCTACCGCGGAGACAAAAGAGAAGGAAGCGGATGCAAAGCGGCGACGGCGACAACAAAGTTCGACACCACAGACTAGGGCTAAGGAAGCAAAGCTAAGCGGGAAAAATGCCAAGCTGACGCGCAGTTGAGACAACTTGAAGCGGATGCAAGGCGGCAATACTGACAAGAAAATTCTACACCAGAGATGATAGCTAATGAAGCTGTGATTATGAAGTCAAAACGTAACCCTGAACTCAGAACCTCATATCAGCTATAAAGAAGAATCACCGCTATATCACAATCGGTCTCAGCACTATCTCTTTGAATAAAAAAAATATGTAAGTATCACAACGACAATCAGTCTCAGTACTATCTCAACTTTAATCACAATAATCACCTTCCGAAAGCTTTGCCTCATAATTATCTTCAAGTAGCTTGAAATGCAGTGATTTTTTTATGTGGGTGCCAATCGCGATCTTCCAATGAACTAAATCAAGCTCAATGTAAAACAGACGCTGATAACTTTATTTACATATCACCACTGAATGGAACTCGAGTACATCCACATGCCATAATGTGACCACACACAAAATATAGTGAACATGATACTGATTAAAGGCACTTGTTCATTCTATTCTATTACAAGAAGACAAGTTAAATATGCAGGTATTGCACGAAATGCCTTCGCACATTAAAATAACGTATAAAGATAGTGCTGCTTACATTCTTTGGTACAACAGTATGAAAACCGAACAGTGAAATTTTGATAACCTTTAAAACCACTTCTGAATCATCAAAGCTCAATATAAAAATAGTTCTCTCACACAAATAGGCAACACATGAAATAGGCTACCTACTTATTCAACATACTTCAAAGTTTTGAGACCATGCAAAACTCACAGGCCAAAATAGCAGCATCTGCAATGCTAATAATATTTTTTGCAATAGACTGCAAGTATAATGACTGTGCTGACTGCACCTTATTCAGAAGCTACAATATCCAATGGGAAAATATGACTGGTGCATACAGCATTGGGAACTGAATAAACAGCTCACCTAGAAGACAAAATGATGCAAAGGTTCAAAACATGAAAATTTCAATAGGCAGTGGACAGCATACATGTTATAGCTGATGTGCATTCCAGTGTAACCTCGCTGTGGCTTTGGTGTTACACAATGTGATGTCTATCGAAAGTAAAAAAGAACATACACCACCAGCTTGCGGCCTTAAAATCACACTTGCTGTCATTATAAAAGATTATGAAATGGTGTATCTCACAGTATGTATGGGCTGTGAGTTAACAGCATAGAAATATATAAGAGACACTAAGGAAAAACACAAATTCCTTAACGTTGGGAGTGTTACAGCAAGAGCATCAATGGTTTTATTGTACAGCCGATGATACGACAGAGCTTAATTGTTATACAAGACCAAGAAGTTTATGAATAATGCAAACATTGATTTAACTCTTCATATAATGCTTAAGAAAGTGGTACTACCACCAAATTACTAGCCATCTAAAAGCTTGATTACCATTACCAGAGTTTCATAATGCATGCCAAGAAATCTGCAGTAGAATAGCTTGCATTTTGCTACACAATGGCTCATCCTGGAACAGGTCCTAGCTCCCGTGGAAATAAATTAAACTTCAGCACTGTCTTTTGACACACTACAGTCAGACATGTCAGCACTAGTGTTAATAGCATATCACCGCTATATCACCTAATAATAGCATATCACCTAATAAATTCGATGGGCCTTCAGCATAGCCTTCTTTGAATATTGTAATTGAGACATATAGCGAGCGTCTTGCAACGATAAATTTTAAATAATAATGCAGTAGTAGCTTTTGCAATAGTAGTGTTTAATCAAAATACGATGCCACCAACAGTGCAGCTATTTTAACTATCTCACCATCTAACTTGATATAGTGAAGAAACACAGCTGCCACTCAACAATGCGCTAATGAAACCAGTTACGAACAGATCAAAGACGAGCTAGAAGCTGATGTGGCTCTTGTGCCAATGAATTCATGCAGATGGAGCAGTGAAAATGATTCATACTATTAATAAAATGGACCATTCCATAATACTGGACAAAATTTGCATGAGAAATCTACCTGAATGCTAAGAGAAAAAGTACTCTCTAAAAACACACTGCTCAGGCCCATAAAGTTACTATTGCCATTAGCACCAGATTACCTTACAATAGCTGTCAAAAAGTGTTCATTTACTCGTGATAAATAAAACTTGTATGTTCGTGATATGGTCGTACGGCTCACAAGATTTTGACAGGCTAGAGGACCAGCAACAGTTTCATTACCGAAAGTCTACATAACAGAAGTATTTTAAAATAAACCAAAAAGGAACATTATAATTCTATAAAATCTTTGTAGGCTGATTTGTGAAATCAAATGTTCTATTTTTCAAAGCAAAGATTAAAAAGCAAATACGACATTTCATGATATTTAACACCGGACTCATGGCATGTAAAGAGCTGCAATATTCTTCATGATTATGAACTGCCCAAGGTTTCTTCTTAATCTGCTTAATCACAGCACAATAGATAAGGATGTTGAAAATATTTTGTAAATACGGAAATTGAGCAATTAAGCAATATATGATACATAAGTTTCTATTATGTGATGGTCAGAACAGCACAAAAATATGAAGTTAATGCTAGCTCAAGAAAATAACGAAGCTATTAGTTAAAGAAGTTAAAGAACAAACACACCAAAAGGGTACATAAATGCACTCACTAAGGAGCCAGATAATGAGAACTTCTACATTATGGAATAAAATGCCTTGAACAACATAAAAGAAAGCTAAGTGGATAAATGCTAATGCCTTTCTTCTTCATCACAGCGCACATTGTGTGAAGACACAGTATACAAGGTACCGCGAGTTGTGAAAGTAGACCTAGTGGGGCACAAATGTGAATAGGTGAATCAAAGAGCCTTTTAGATGAATGTCAAATCGAGAAACACAGGACATGGACTTCAAATTAAACATAAGCACAGCACACATAGCTTTAGGAGCTACATGTGTAGGACAAAAGACAAGACTGCAGAACTCTAAAATGCTCGTAGAGAAAATTAATTTCTCCTCTGAACAATGAAATAAACAACGTGCCTACAGACCAGGTAACTCACTGAACAACGAAACGCATCTTGTTTTTTATAATCACATATTTAACAGAACCAAGGTTACCTATCACATTAGTTCAGACGCTCTGGTTTAGTTCAAATGCAGAACTAAAAACATGGAGGCCAACTGGATAACAACTTGAATAGCACAGAAGCAGATGAAATAAACCATACAGCGAATTACTTTCCAACCCTCAGTAGACTTATTCAATCCACCGATAAATCCTTTTCCCTTGCAGGCGATGAATCGATAGAACTGTGTTCAGCGTGTTTGTAATTAGGCCATAGTATGTGCTATGACTATAAACTCGTTAAATCGCTGTACCTTTGCCTTGTTTTGGCTTTTATGTATGGACTATGAATTAACCCATACGTTAAACACCCAGCTTGCCCAAAGCTGCTTTAGGGTAAAAATGTGTGTAATCAAATAATCCAGTCGAGCTTAAAATGCAGGATTTGTACTTCAACAGCACCAGGCTTATATTGAAGTGATTCGATCATGACACTTGTTATGAGAAGAAAGTTTTCTTTGGCTGAAAATTCCCGATTTCAAGATAGCAAATGAAACTGTCCCTTTTTGGTAATGTGCACCTAATGGCTCCTTAACTAACAAATAAGCACCAATGATGCACGCGAGAATCAAGCATCATAATACATACAGCATGCCACCACAAGTAATCGAGTGCTTCAAACTGATGAATTAACAGGAATATGTAAATGAACAGCACTAGATACATGGTCATCTGAAAGACAGCAGGTACACAGCACAGACCATCGTGTGGCAATGCTACATGTGTATCTTTTAGGTTAGATATCTTTGTTTCCCACTCACGGTGCTCTGGGACCCCAGGTGCAGTGCAGATAGACGTTTGTGACTAGATAATTAAAAGAGTTCCTGGAAGCGTTTTAACATCAAACCTGAAAACCGGGTTAATGGGAGGGTCGCTGAGCTCTAGAAGAAAGCACCAAAGGCACCGCGGAGCCTGTGGGTCGTCTCTCGAGCACGTGCAGATGATAATTTCCTCATCGCCATTGCGGGTAATGTTTATGTGGTCATATTCACCAGCAACATCCATGCCCAAATCATCGCTGTAGCCCCCACCCACTCTCCCGTCGATGTAGACTTCGCTCACTTCTTCTGTCGATGCACTATAACCTTGCGGCGATGCCAGGAATTCTTCTGGCATTGTCGGCAAAATAGCGAGCTTGCTGTCCTCCATTTGAGCCATGTTGCATGTAATGTCTTCTTCCTTCAAAACAATGGGCTTGATCAACCTCTAGTAATGCGACAAATACAGAAAGACTAGAAAAGATCACAACCCTGGATAGTTGACTGGCAACCGCTATTTTACTTCACTAGTGCGACTTAAGATAAGCCTAGAGCTTGGCTATAATAAGTGCCTAGGTGTTATACTTCACACTTCAAGAGGTGCATATACAGCCTTTATGTACTTGAGAAAATTCGTGCCTTTTTAGGGTTTTTATCAAATAAAGTTATTGCTTCACCTTAATACTTCTTTACTGCAAATAAAATCGCAAGGCAACTTCATTTACAAGAAAACCAATCCCTGGAAAGCATTATTTACACAAACTTTTTCACTGTCTGCCAGGAGCATCATAAAGCAGCTCATGTGAGGGAATTGCAGCACAGTTTAAAGAAAAAGATGCAGCAATCCTTTTGGAGCACCTGCCTTCTGCAGCTTCCAGCTGATTATAAATCAGTTGATTAGCAAACAATGTCTAGGCTGATGACATTTGAACTGTAGCTAACTCCTTTTTATTGAGTTAAATCACCTTTTATTTTTTTATTACAATGAAATATTATCACAAAATGTTAAAAACACTCACACACTAAGACGAGAATGTTTCTCACGAAACTTCTGCAAGAAAAGAACAGCGCTTTGCCATATCTTCTTCATGCATTAAGAGAAATATCTGCCACTGCCTGATAGGATCACACATCACATACTTCATTAGGAATCTAATGCACACAACTATGCTGTATACGAAAGCATGAACAAAGTGGAACACATTTGCCCACATGAAAAGACAGGCCAACAGAAACCTAAAATAGTGCAGTGACCCTACCACAAATTTTGTGACGGCGCGCCTTTGAAATTAAAATAGCCGCTGTGGTGGCATGTGTTTGTTGCAAGTATCGTTTCTCGTAGAGAAAAATCTTAAGAGCAGCATTTGCTCAGCATTATTATCATCATGAGCCTGACTACGCCCACTTTAGGACAATGGCCTCTCCCATGTTTTGCCAGTCAACTAGGTCCTGTGCTTGCTGCGGCCTGTTTATACCCACAAACTTTCAATCTCATCTGCCCACCTAACTTTGTCACCCTTTCACCCGCTTGCCTTTTCTGGGAATCCAGTCAGTTATCTTTAATGACCAGTGGTTATTCTGCCTATGTGCTACGTGCCTCAACCATGACCATTTCTTCTTCATTTCAACTATGATATCCTTACCTCTAATTTGCTCTCTGACTCACTCTACTCTCTTCCTGTCTGTTGTTAAAGTTACACTAATCATTTTTTTTTTTTTCAGTGCTCGCTGTGTAGTCCTCAACTTAAGTTGCACCCTCTTCACAATCTTCCAAGTTTCTGCTCTGTAGGTAAGTACTGGTAAGATGCAGCTGTTATATACCTGCCTCTACTCAGCATATTGCCTCTTAAGGGGGGACGTGGCAAGTAAGACTAATTTTTTTATTAATGTACTGTTTGTGATGAAATTTGGTGTGTGTATGTGGATGATTGTGAGGATTCCAAATATGAAAACCGTTTTCAAATACCTCTTGTACTTTTTGAGTTACAAGCATAATTATACTAATTAATGCTCTTCACACTTAAAGAGATAATTATTGCTAAATGAAATTATTTTTTCATATTATTATGTTCCCAAAGCATCAACTTGTGCAAAGAAGCTATTAGTTGATTTTTCTAGTTCTTGTAACCATAAATAAAATTTCCAAAACATGGATGTTGTTTTGCACACACATCACAGTAATTATAAAATGTGTTCTAAGAATTTTAAATGATGAGTAAGAAGAGAGATAAAGCTTTATTGCACTGCTAAAAGCCTCCTGAGCCTAGTGCAAAAAACGGAACGACTCTATCAGTCTTTGTTAGAAAATGACAGATGTTCTAGCGAAGGCACATAGGCGAAAATCAAGAGTTGAGAAAACTGACTTTGAAAGTTCACTCTTGTTTGGAAGTTCACAATATGCCTAAAACACTCAGAATCCTCCTGGGCAGTAATCCTGAGATGCTGTGGCCTTGGCCTCTGTAGAGCGCAACCCAGTTTTGCACTTCTTTGTCGTGGAACAATGCACCTTTTGAGCCCTCTTCACCCTTTTGGCATCCTTTTCGGCTGCTCGCCGCAAAGAGCAGTCTCCTGGATTGAAGCCCAGTTGAGCGGTGATCTCTTGCAGCGCACTCTTGCAGCCACCATTGAAACGGCAGACTGCATCTGCAACTGCACTTTCCACACTTCGAAGGGAGGCGAACTGGCTCTTGGACTGGAGTGACCAAATGAGGCTGTTCATACTCTCCACAGCATTCTGGGTTTTTCCCTGTGCACACCTTTCAAGGAGCTCTTTGTTCGAGAGGCGCTTGTAGATTGGCAGCAGTGCCACTCGCACGTGAGGGGGCAGTTTATGTTTGTGAGGCGGCAGCGGCTCTCCCTTGGCCAATGCCTGATTGTGCGGGCACCAGGAGTCAGTCCCACTTGGGCACAGGTCGTGGTGTGGATCCTGGTCTGTGGATGTTACATGGTAATAAGTGGCCATGATGGCCCTCTCCATGCCAGGAACATCGTTGGGGTGGCTCTTAATGGCCCAACCATAATAATTCGTTAACTTCTTTATCAGGCCCTGCGTCAGCCGGCCTTTGCCACCCATGCTCAGTCCTCGGCCTTTGGATTTGTGCTCATCAAGAAGGTTGCGCAAGGAAGTGCCCATTCTTTTTTTCACATGGTTCACACACTCCTGTTTCTTAATCACCATGTAGCCATACACCTTGTCTTGCGTGAGGGCAAGGTACGTACGGCTGTCACCGTCGCAGAGCACATTGATGTATCGAAGCTTGTACTTGGTAAACGATCTTTCAAACATGATCTTAGCTGCTTCTACTTCCATTTGGCCTGCATTAGCATCAGTGTTCTTTTGGCACTGTGGCTTGTGTTTCTCAAGCCACTCCTCATAGTTGTCGTCACCAGGCTTGGTGCCAACAGCACAGCCTTGGCAGTAGTTGGACAGGACACAGTGGTCCAAGACCAAGCCTGTGTACAGCTCGATTACACAGCCCACGCCAATATGACTTCTGTGCCCCCTCGTCATCCACGTGCCGTCGTAAATGACGTCAATGTTGCCTGGCACTCCTCCTAGGTCCTTGTATATGTCATGCACCTTCTGTGCACTTTCTGCTTCAATGCGGGTGGCAGCTGATGTGGTGGCAGGGTGGCTGTACTTCCTTTGCAGTCTCTGGTAGGACTTGTGGTGCAGTGCTCGATGCGAAATGTCCATCGCAGAAAAAATGTCATTTATGGCAGATTGTTTTCTGCCAACTGACTGCACAGCCCTCAAAGCACGCACGTTTACCTCAAAGGGGTTCGTTTTTTGTTGCCCGGAGCACCTCGGGGACGACCACGCACTGTTCACTATGCCACAATTGTCACAAAAAAGTTCCATCCTCGCCGCGAGTCCAAGGCAGTGCGTAGTCTCGAGACGTATCGACCCTTCGTCGCACTTGTTGCACTTTACTGACGAAAGCAGACCGTTCAGCATCTTCTTATTTACAATGAAGAATGTGGAGTCCTTACCGCCGTCATTTTCGTCGCAGCCTTCGCTCAGAAGCTCGAGCTTCCGCTTTGAAGCGGACTTCGATGCTACGGCATCCAAAACATCCCGCCTTGTCTGCGCCCGCTGCGCGATTTCTTCACTGCTCGGAATCTGGGCCGAAACTCGCGATAGAATGTTCGACGCGCGCACGCCCGGAGTTGCAACGGCTGCCGACGCGGTGCCACCGCAATCGGGTTCGCGAGAGCGTCCATCACGGTCGACGGCATCCGGCGGTCTGACATACGACGATGTGGCACCTTCCACACTCTCGGCCTCACAACAATCAGCGAAGGGTCTGAGTAGAGGCTCTGTGACGCTTGAAGAGCATGCTCCGTCCGGAACTGCGACTGGGACGGCAGCCGCAGTCGTCTGCCCTTTGTTCCAAGCTTTCCGACGCTTGCCGTACTTGTGGACGCTCCGGAACTTTTTTTGCGGCAACATAGCACCGCAGTATGAGCAAGCACTCAGAAGAGACCACCAATGTAAACAAAGCTTGGTAAAAAAAGCACGCGAACTATCACAAAAACAGCAAACTGGCAAAAAACGAAACGCACGCCGGATGATTCTCGGCACGGCGGCCGCAGATGCGCTCGCGCTTCCAAGGTTGCCAAGGTGCGCGGCGCAGCTTTGACCAGTAAGAGGTCGCGCCTGCTACCACGTGACCCGCGCAGCCAATTGCCGTTCTTCGTTTTCGTTTTTTTACTTGCTCCTCGCGCTTTTATTTTCACTCGGCGAAATACGAGACCGCGACCATCGGGAAGCCGGCTTTCTCCTCTTTCCAAAGCTACCAAAATGGCGGCCCACAGTCAACAACTTGGCGCGTTTGTGCGGCGTGAACAACACCGTTTCAGGGGCTTTTTTTTCGCACTTTTCGGCGACTAGCCTCGGCAAAAACACTATTTGCGGGATTTGTAGCGCACGTTTCGCTGTAATATTTTAGAACAAGGAAGTTGAAGGTCTGAAGATTACGAAAAAAAATAAATCAGAAAATCGCATATTTTGACCAAAATCGGCACTTTACTTGCCGCGCCCCCCCTTAACGCCAAATCTGGAAGATGGCTAACTGCTTGAAGCAGGTTGCAGAAATACTGTTACAAATTTTGCATGCAATGAGGATGTGCATACAAAACGACGACGATTGTTTACAGTGCAACTCTTATACACCTGTTCCTTTGTTGAGCGGCATTGCGTAAGCGATAGTCATGAAAAATTAAATAAGAGAAACCAAGCCCAGAACCAAATGGGACTTCAACCACTACCCCCTCCCTGCATTGCACTTGAGTATTTAAGCACAAAAACAAGCTGGTACTCTGCAAAAAAACAAAAAAAAACATGCAGGGTCATACCAGGCATCCAATCGCATTAAAGTGTGTGGTTCCTTGCCAATTTAAAATAATCTTGAATAAAGTCCAAATGAATCAATGAATGAATGAATGTAAACAGCAAGGCAGAAAAAAAAAACAACCAGTCACCGCACAATCCTATCCTAATGCTTTCCCACTCACTGCGAAGTGCTTAGCCAAATTATCCATCGGACGAGAGCAGGATATTTGGGGTAAATCTCATCTGTTCGGGATGTTTAACATGCAGCTAAATCGTAGCACATAAGCATTTTTGCATACACGTAGCAACATATGACATGGGACCCCCATGGTACCGATCCGACTTCGAAATGACTCTAATTTGCAGCAGAAAGCCATACTTGTCAGTGCACGGGCTACTGCAGCGGTTTGAAGCTTCCGTGCAATTTAAATCTGTGCCCTTTAAGAAAACGCCTGAGAACAAAACGCGATACGTTTGACACTGATGGGAAATTACAAATTGTGCACAGCTGATATCGCTTGCTTCCACTGCACTAAAGCATTAATATTACACACATACACAATACGTACAGTTTTCACTGTTGCCATCCTGATAGGCAGCTTGGTAGAGAGGGCTTCAGCAGCAGTGGGGTCTGAGCATTCGGTCTCGCTCACACAGTCAGAGTAGACTGAACCACGGCGCGAGCGCCTTGCGCCACGTGTTTTCTTGCCGTTTCTGAGGAGGTAGTCTGCACAATAAATATAATGCAATCAATTTGTGTTATGTCATGCACATCTAGATCTGATGAAAGCATGAAGGATAGCCCTTGATCTCCATTTCACGTGCCAACGATGCCACTTTCATATTATTGACTTAAGCCACGAATTAATTGCTTGTTAACGTGGTGTGCTTATAACAAATAGAGATTTAGGGTTGCCCTTTACAATGGGAGAGCAATAAGCAGTGCCGTTTGACAGCTTCACTGTTCCAGGTGAAACTACTTTGAACTTTTTCATAGAGACCCATATATGATTACTCTACAGATCGATGGTCAACTCTCTGGCGCAGACACACGCCTGTGTTCTTGTGTTGGTGATAAACCTCATAAAATTCATCACGGATTCCAACATGAATGCTCAGATAAACTTAATCTTATATATAGCAAGGATGGACGTTTGTACCTTTTAATATGCATAGTTCTTATAATTGCTGAGAAATAATTATACTACCTCCCACTAAAAGGAACCACGTGTCTATAGATGCAAAGCTGTGGACGGTAACGCTTACACTGGCTGTGGCGTTGATGTTGGCGCTCATCGTGGCGTTGCGTGACAGAGAAACTTGGACCGGTGCATTGACCGGTGTTTCCTACTAGAACATGCCAATTGCTGCTAATGGGCGATGAGAAAAAGAAAACTCTGATTAGGCACAGAGACCTCCAGTCGTCTTTTAGTTAACGGGCATGTTGCGAGTTTTTATTCTTCAAGAATGCACAGGAAAAATCTCCCACCGGCCCTACCTTGGATGTCATGATGGAGTGCCTATATATAAGGGATGGGGAGCGAAGGGTTGTGCAGAGCTAGGAATCAGTTTTTTTCAGTCAAGAAACTCTAGCAAACGCTTGCGCCGGCGTTGCGACGTGAGGGGGAAGCGTAGGAGAGGAGGGAAAATAAGATGCGCATGCACTGTAAGGGTGGTCACATCGCACACCGAATTGAGCTCAAATATAAAGCTTCTCAAACTCAAACAAGAATCAGCTAGCTTGCTTGTCATTCACGCGTAAAGGGCTGTGCTATAATGTCTGGCTCTCGCATTTGCTGGAGCCACGGATACCCATAGCCAGCATTTTGTGTTGTAGGGCCTCTTTAAAGTTCCCAGAAACCCTTTGCCAAGTAGTCATTGAATGACTCCATTAAAGTAGTTTACTGCGTCACGAATCCTCCACACCAAAAACTTTCAAAATCTGTCAAGAGCCCATTTACAGGAATTAGACGCTCCCAGTAACTCCTTTCTCTCATCTATCGTCTCGACAAGCAATGTGGAAGATACTCAAGGAGGGTTTGCATGGGGAAAACTGTAGTATCGTACGGTGGACGCGCTGCATGGAGGCGCCGGTCGACGAGAAGTGTACAGCAGCCGTTAGCCAAGCAGGAACTGTTTTATTATATACAATGCCGTGCGTATATACATAGGGTAGTGCCCCCAAGGACAAAAATACTTCGCATGAAATCCAAACCGAAATACCACATCATCATCCCCCTAGAAAGAAAAGGACATGTGGCTCTAAGATCCTTCTATAGTGAATAATACAGACTATTATCCTTATTTTGAAATATTATTAGAAATATTAGTGGTACATAAGTAACTTTTATAACCTTATACAATTTTGAGCAGAGTGCTATGACACATAAAACTTGTACAACCTTAACATCCCCCTCATTTTGTCGTAAAGTAACCAATTGAAGAAAGAAGAAGCGGCATGAGAAGGAGAAAAAAAACTTAGCTATGTACACTGCGCACCATGGCTGAAAACACTTAAACCATCTTACAACAAGAAATCACAGCAGACCAGGCACCAAGTGGTAGACTTTTAAATAAATAAATGTACATGTACAGCATACACACAACAATAGACTCGTATGGTACAGATTGCAACATACGAGTAAGAAAAAAGAATTTAAACACGAAGTCCTTAAACTTGAACGGTTTCTTATGCAAACGTTTGGAACTTCAAAGCTCATTACTCTCTGAAGTGCTCCCTTACGGAGCAGTAAGTTCGTTATCTGAGTATGAGCCTACTGGCTCGCTTACGTGCTGCTCAGGCACAGCAGAGAGCGTACAGGAATAACTGGAGTCCCACGACTCGCTTAAGCATCCCTCAGTTGCAGCTGGAGACGGAGAACCCTGGCGCGAAACATGGCAACCTGAAGGTTCGGAAATACGTCCATTAGTGTTAGGAAGGATACTGGCATGGGGACTGGGCTCATCAGTCAAGTATTGAGACGAAGCCTGAGAAGAGTCCGAGGACTCTGAAGCGTGCTCGGTGCACGGTAAAATTTCCTGGTGGCTGGGCATCACAGCCGAACTTGCAACAGGTGCCTGAATACCATTTTTCCCCGGGAAAGATGGTGATGCTGCAGGAATAGGGATAGAAACCAATCTTGGAAACGAGGCAGAGTATTGCGACTGGTTGTGCAAAGGTATTGAAGGGTGCAAGCGTGAAGGTGGTTCCCTTTGGAATGGACGATTACAATTTTAGAAGCATTCAAAACCAATTCATTACAGAGTTTAAATGCCTGGGATCCCTCTGCCAACGTAACGGTAAACGGACCCTAGAACGCGTATGACACTTTGGCCAACCTGAATGACTGACGGTGTGGCTCCTCGCTTCTGATCCACATAATTCTTCATGTATTTCTGCTTATGAAAAACTAGCATCCTAATGGTATTGTCCGAAAATGACTGCAAAATAGAAGGCAATGGCAGATCAGTTATGTCAACCACTGTGCGAGACTGATGCTTATGAAGCAAGATCGTGGAAGACGATCTCGTAGTTGCCTGAGCAGAAAAATGGTAAGTATGCAAGAACTCTGTAATTGCCTTCTTTAGAGGACGTTGTTCTAGTTGGGCTGGTTGAATCTACTCTTTCAGGACCCTGTTGAACCGCTCAACCTGCCCATTGGCTTGAGGATAGTTGTTGGAAGAACACAGGTGTTGAATACCTCGTTCGGAATGAAAAGTTTCAAACTGACGAGACTTAAACTGGGGGCTGCTGTCTGTTACTAAGCATGCTGGAAAACCTTCACGGCAGAAGACTGAAGTCAAGAAGGTGACGACTGCATCAGACGTAACGTCTCGAACGAAACAAAGCTCAGGCCATTTGGAGTACTAGTCAATCAAAGTGACTGAAAAGCGAATCTGAGGGAACATTTGAAAGAGGACCTATAATGTCCATGCCTAACTTCCACAGTTTCTCAGAAAAAGAAACTGATTGTAGGGGTGCAAAGACAGGTATAGCCGATTTGTCGGCAGCCTGACAGATGTAACAGTTCCAAAGCGCACTTTCCAATTGTTTGTCAAGGCACAGCCACCAATACCTGTCACGAAGCAGCCGCTTTGTACAAATTATGCCTGGATGATTCTCGTGGGCTAACTGAATTAATTGCCCCCTGCAAGTTTCTGGAACGGTAACAGGTTCCCCGTGGAAAATCAGCCCATTGTCATAAGCCAGTTCGTCTTTCACCTCAAAGTAAGCTACAAGTACTGAAGTCAAATGCTTCTTTGGCAGACAACCCTCAGCAATGTATTGAATAAGCTGCTGGAAGGTACTATCAGTAGCAGTAGCTGCCTGTAACTCGTCCTTATTTAAGCATGCAGCAACTAAAGAAAGCACCTCTTCTTTCGGCGCCTGTGCTGGCAGAAGCTGGACTGGCAGCCGAGATAATGCAGTCCGCTACGACATTATCGACACCTTTGCAATATTGTACAGAAAAGTTATAATGTAACAGTTGGACGCACCATCGAGAAATTCGCAAAAGGCATCGCCGCACCGTGCCAGCTGACAGCAAAGTAGTTAAAGCCTGGTGGTCAGTCCGTAATGTAAAATGCCGACCCCAAAGATACACATGCCATTGTTCTACCACAAACAAACAAGCAAAAGCTTCACTCTCCCCTGCTGAATACAGGAGTTCCGCCAGGGACAATGTTCTACATGCAAAAGCAATAGTTAGCAGCTGATCTCCTCTCTGTTGTTGATAAACTGCTCCGATGCCGACATTGGATGCATCGGTGGTAACCACCATCGAAAGATTATTATCAAAAATATTTATGACCGAGGGTTCAGCCAGTATTTTTTAACCTGGTTGAAACTGGCGTTGGCCTCAGCGGACCATTTAAAACTCTGACCTTGCCAGAGCATGCGGTGCAGAGGCTCAACAACATCAGCATAATGCGGTAGAAACTTTGCATAATATCCAACAAACCCCAAGAAGGATTGAAGTGCTTTAACATCAGTAGGAACAGGGGTATCAGGAATGGCAGTGACCTTAGACTAACCGGTGATAACCCGCGAGCACTTATGTTATGACCTAAGAATGCAATTTCAGTAGCAGCAAATACACACTTGTCGTTAGCTTCATGCCACAGGAATCTATTTTAAACAAGACACCTTTCGAATGTACATAATGCTCTTTCCAATTACGGCTCCCAACTAAAATGTCGTATATCATCATCGTCATCGTCAGCCTGGACAACGTCCACTGCAGGACAAAGGCCTCTCCCATGTTCCGCCAGTTAACTCGGTCCTGTGCTTGCTGCTGCCAATTTATACTCACAAACTTTTTAATCTCATCTGCCCAGCTAACCTTCTGTCTCCCCCTAACTCCGCTTGCCTTCTCTGGGAATCCAGTTAGTTACCCTTAATGACCCTTAATGTCGTCCTAAGTAACAGACAACTCTGGGCACCCCTTCAGTACATCGCTCAGTCATTTTTAGAAAATAGCTGGCGCAGATGCCAGCCTAAAGCACACTCTGCGAAATCTGTAAAGCCCTTGATGTGTTACAAAAGTAGTACGATCACGACTCTCCTCCGCTAACTCAACCTGGTGATATGCAGGATGCAAGATCAAGTTTAGAAAAAATTTTAGCACCTGTTAACTGTTGTAAGAATTCCTCGATATGAGGTAGAGGGAAGCCGTCCACCACATTAGCCTTGTTCGGCTCACGGAGATCGATGCACAGTAGGATAGA